CCCCAAAACCCCAAAACCCCAAAACCCCATTCATTAACTTGATATTTAAATTAAAATCTAAGATAAATTTTAGTTTAGATTAATCAATTAAAATGATTCTACTCATTTTCACTGTATAGTATTCATTGTATATTCTCTAAATAGATCATTAGTGTTCTAAAATGTATTCAAATTCTTTTTCCTCAACACATTACAGCTCTTAAGTACATTTCTTGTAATATTATGTATCTTATTGTAGTCCAAATTAAGCTTGTGATGCTTTTATTCCGCTTTGTCATTGAATTTATATTTATTCATATAGCTATTTCTTTGGTAAATTTTATTACTCGCGCTTAGAACTGAATCATAAATTTTGCTGTCCTCATCTTCCTCTTCAATCATTAAGCTATTTTCTATAAGCATATCATTAATAGATATTGTCTTATTGATATCTCGTGGCATTATGGAGACTGATTTGTTTATGGAATCATTTAAGTGATGACCTTGATTATTCAGCTCAGTTAAAAGTCCTAAGTTTTAATTCTTGACTTTATTTCTGCTATTAATTTCCATTGATTTGTTTATCAATCTTTTGTATCTTCTGTTTGGTTTAGCTATTTATTTAGGAGATTCATCAGCTTAGGTTATGATTCCTTTTCTAATTGCTATTGCATTTAAGTCTTGGAAAATACTCTCAGTCTAGTGATCATTATTGTTGAAATTAAGTATCCCAGCATCTTATGTATTCATAAAGAATGTAGTTGCTCCCTTAAAATGAGTTTTCTAATGCAGTGATGGCAATATGTCCTTTGGATTTATTATTTATCTCGCTGTATTAGTACTTATTGATTGCCTGTCAGTTATCTATGATTTTTCTGTGCCTTTCATTCTGTTCAGCTGTTAAACTTGCTATTTCATTTGCAATTGATGATGAACATCTTGCTGTATGTAATACGTAGAGGCGTTGTCTATTACTCTATCTATAGAATTAGATGCTCTAAATCTAAAAGTTCCATTAAGTTCTTTCTCTTGATTTCTTTATCGAATCATTTTGTGAAATGTCTGGTTCATATTAGGATTTGGAATAATATCTAGGAATTCATTTTGGATTTTGGATTTTTGTAATCTATCTGAGGCTTTATCTTAAAATCTAAAACTCGCAGGATGCAATAATTCTTGAAGATTATTCCTGTCCTGATTAATTTAGGTGTTCAAAAATTTTTTCTTGTTTAATTTTATCTTGTCCTCTTAGATATTGGTGTACTAATCATTTTCAACTATTGGATTTTCAGCCATCTATCAATAGAAATGAGATATGATTTAAAGTCATTACCTCTTTGATAAAGTTTGCCACTCTTTTCTTATATTACTAGGAAAGCATTTCTCTTTACTCTAATAAAAGTTGTTTAAGTATGGGCATTTAGCATTTAAAAATACATACCTTTATGCTTATAGTTTAACTACTCATCTTTAATTTGTTTGATTTATTAGAGATCATCTAGGTCTTTTTTCTTTTGGAATCTAAAGACATTATACATTTTTGCAATTATTTATAATTTTATTAGGTTTAATTTGATAATATTCTAAACTATAAACTTTTTTATAATATATCCTCGGGGTTTTGGGGTTTTGGGGTTTTGGGG